TTTGTATTTGTAAATTCTTTCATTGATATGTAAGCTTCTGGTGGCCCTATAACCCAGGAATGTCTTGAACTGGAACTCCAGGCCTCAAGTGATCCTCCAGCCTCAGCCTCCCAAAGTGTTGGGATTACAGGTGTGAACCACTACAGCCATCCCCTAGGAATGTCTTTCTTCAGGGCATTGGAGCCATCCCTTTGAAATGTGAATGTTGAGGAAGATGATGTCCTTGTCTCCCTGTCACCAGGGGAGTTTAGCCTAGGTGCCTTGCTCCAACCTGTAAGCACCCGCTTGTCATAGAGATATGAGTTTTATTTTTCCTTCAGATAAAGGCAATTAACTAACACAGATGGGTACTCCAGTTACTCGGTGAACTTAGGACTTGCCTGGGGGCATTTAGTTTTCACCCTTGGCTGCTGCTGTACAAGCAGGCCAATTAGCTACATATCTGGACTTTCTGGTTTCTGCTACCACTTTTTATTGTTTGTTTTGCTTTTTTGTTTGTTTGTTTGTTTTTGAGGTGGAATCACCCTCTGTTGCCCAGGCTGGAGTGCAGTGGTATGATCTCTGTTCATTGCAACCTCTGCCACCCAGGATCCAGTGATTCTCCTTCCACAGCCTCCCAAGTAGCTGGGATTACAGGCGTGCACCACCATGCCCAACTACTTTCTGTATTTTTAGTAGAGACAGGGTTTCATCATGCTGGCCAGGATGGTCTTGAACTCTTAACCTCATGATCCGCCTGCCTTGGCCTCCCAAAGTGCTGGGATTACAGGCATGAGCCATCATGCCTGGCCTCTGCTACCACTTTTGGATTGTATGAAACACTACACTTCAAAGTGTGGGATCTGGCTTCCCAGACAGCTGTCAGAGGGGTAGCTGATGCAGTCTAGAAGTGTGGGGGCGGTCATGCCTGTGGAGTAAATTTTGACCAATAAGAAAAGGAACCAGGAGTGAGAGCCAGGTACGTAAATTGCCTCTCCTCTCCTCTCCCCACTGCACCATTCCAGGCATTGTTTCTCAGTATAGTTTGTCTAGAGGTGTCCTATGTGGCCCAAATTCTGTTGCCTTGGGAACCTGAGCTAAAACAATGGACATTCAAACACCTGAAGACAGTGTTACGTGCTGTTGAGGACCCAGATCTGGGCAGAGGAAAATTATCCCAATAAGAAAATGGACAATCTGAGGATGCGGAATAGAGAGAAGGATTAGAAGAACCAGTAGTAGTATAGCGTACGGGTAATATTTTTGGAGAAAAAGGCAGTTCTGGTGATTTTTGCAGTGAACTTCTCAGCTCTGTGTGTATATATATATAATATATATATCCTTTCTTTCCATCACTCTCCCCTATGAAATCGTCCATAAAGTATCCTTTTATAACTATCTATTGCCTGTGAAGTGAATTTTCTTTTTATCTTTTTCTTTTTTATGTAGAGATAGAGTCTCTGTCGCCTGGGCTGGAGTTCAGTGGCGCAATCTCAGCTCACTGCAATCTCTGCCTCCTGAGTTCAAGTGATCCTCCTACCTCAGCTGCCCTAGTAGCTGGCACTACAAGTGCACACCACAAATGCTTGGCTAATTTTTTTATTTTATTGTATTTTTAGTGGAGAAGGGAGTTCACGATCTTGGCCAGGCTGGTCTCCAACTCCTGACCTCAGGTGATCCACCTACCTCAGTCTCCCAAAGTGCTGGGATTACAGGCGTGATTGTAATCAGCCAGCCTGTCACTTCTTTTTGGAGAATAAAACAGATTGAGTCTTGTGCCAAAATGCAGGGGATAAAACAAAATATTATACACAATAATAGATTGGTTTTCTACATACCAATATTAACCATTTAGAAAACCAAATTGAGAAAAATTACACTTATATAGTGACAAATATACATAAAATATCTAAACCTAAATGATTGGAGCAAGATGGCGGATAGATCCTGTGCCCCACTCAACATTCCATTGAACTGGTAAGAAAATGTTATCAACGGTCAATTTTTAACAGTAGAGGAAAATAGGAAAACGTGTCAGTGGTCCACCAGAAATATTGAAGCATTCCTGGGAGACAGAGTAGATGGGATCAGACTGATAGAGAAACCCAAGAAGACAAGACCACAGCTCAAATCACCGTAGGAAAGAGATGCTGTTTGTTTTTTGAGACAGAGACTTACTCTGTCGCCCAGGCTGGAGTTCAGTGGCCTGATCTCGGCTGACTGCACCCTCTGTCTCCCGGGTTCAAGTGATTTTCCTGCTTCACTCCCCATTGTAACTGGAATTCACAGAGGCCTACCACCACGGCAAGCTAATTTTTGTATTTTTAGTAGAGACAGGGGTTTCACCCAATTGGCCAGGCTAGTCTCCAACTCCTGACCTCAAGTGATCTGCCTGCCTCGGCCTCCCAAAGTGCTGACATTACATCATGGGACACCGCGCCAGCCCAGGAGATGCTCCTTGTAACAAACCCTCTGAAAAACTCCAAACCCTGAAACAAAAAAACACGGAGCTGGAAAGGGTCTTAGGATAATCATCAGGTAGGTTAATTTAAAAGTTCATTTGAAACATCTGAATCAGCCAGATTCCCCTCCAACACCACAGACAGATTGACTGGCAGTAGCCATTTTTGCCTCTAAGATGAAACTCTGATAATTATTCATTAAAGAAAGTGAAGGCCGGGCGAGGTGGCTCACACTTGTCATCCCAGCACTTTGGGATGCTGAGGCAGGAGGATTGATCCAGATCAGCCTGGGCAAAATAGTGGATGTCATCTCCACAAAAAAATACAAAAACTAGCTGGGAGTGGTGGCATGTGCCTGTAGTCCCAGCTAGATTGGAAGCTGAAATGAGAGAATCCCTTGAGCCTGGGAGATCGAGGCTGCAGTGAGCTGGACTTGCATCACTGCACTGCAGCCTGGGAGACAGAGTGCGATCCTGTCTCAAAAAAAAAAAAAAAAAAAAAAGTAACGTATCAGAACTTGGTGTAACTTCAGCCCTTTACAGTAACAAGGACAGAACCACATTTGTGGAGAGGAGACCATGTTCACTCTTTATCCACGACAGACAGCTAGTCGGGAGCTTTAAATACCCAAAGAACCTAAGGAAAAATGTTCCCTGTCATAACTCATAATCTTCCAGCCATGCTTTCTTGCACCTGTCTTGTGGGCTGGGAGACCCAACTTATGGATCCCATCATCCCAGGGGGAAAGAAAAATCAAATCCTTCAGTATCTCTTTTGGGGTACCCTCTCCTCTATTTGCATGGAGGTTAAGACACTCAATATCTGGTAGCCGAATGTCACACTTGTGTAATACAGAACTATGTTGGGATAAAATAGAATTTGTTTCCTCTGAGACACAGGTAGAGGTACGTCCACACTGACCTGGGTGGCAGCCACTTCTTCCTGCAGTGCCAGGCAGGGCATGCTCACAGATCTGGGGAACTTCTGCTGCTCCTGGAGCCCCACAACCTCCTTCCTGGCACCCTGTCCCTCTGGTGGCTCTGACAGCCCACAGTTGGCCTTGGGTCTCCCCTGCTTCTTTGCCTGCCCTTCTGCCCACCCTGCATATCTGTCTCCCACTGTCCCCACTATGACCATGTTTGCCTCTCCCTCCCTGCACTCTCTCTCTCCTACGGCTTCTTGTCTTCGGTAAATGAAACCACAGCCTCTACATTGTGACTGGGGGCAGAACCCAGGACTTGTTCAATTCTCCCTCCCTCCATCACACACACCTGTCCTCCTTAATGTTTCTAGAGTCAGTGAGCTCCAAACTCAGCTCCTCCTGCCCCTGCCAGCTGTGGGACCTGTGACAAGACACCTACCATCTGTCTGGGACTCCGTCTCTCATCTATCATATAGGCATAATGATGATAGTGTCCTCCTTCAAAGGCTGGGGAGAACCAGGAGGCCAAGGTGATGGGTTATGGACAGTCAAAACAGCTCCAATCCTGCCTCCACCTGGGGCTGGTGTTTCAAGCCCCTTGCGTGTGAATGGAGCTTTGATGCCTCCATTCACACACAATGATTTGTTCTAAAATAGACTCCCCTCTGCCCTTCCCTTCCCCACATCTGTTTCCCCTCTGCACCATATAACGGTAACTGTGAGAAAGAACTGTCCCATTCCAAATCATCGTCCCCACCCCAGCCCCCAGGCCCTTGGTTGGTGAGACCCTTGATGGGCAGTCTCATGCTTCTGTCCAGGGGACTTTCCCACCGTTGCTCCCCTGCATGGAGACTAAGTGGACTCTTCTATTCCCTTCCATCACAGGGTCTACAGTGCACGCATCTTCCTCATTCCTCCACGTTCCCCAGATGACGATTTCATCTGTGTCTCCTCCCACATACTCCCCAGTGGACCATCCCGGACCTTGAACCCGAAAATCATTCCGAGAGCAAAGGCCAAGATGCCCAACCACCTGCTGCAGAATCCTGCTTCAGGACTGAAGTGTATGGTCTCTATCAAAATAAAAACTGGAGGCCAGGCGCGGTGGCACATGCTGATAATCCCAACACTTTAGGAGACCAAGGTGGGAGTATCGCATTGGCCCAGGAGTTCAAGACCAGCCTGGGTAACATGGAGAGATTTTCTTGACAAAACCTTAAAAAAAATTAGTGGGTCATGATGTTGCATGCCTGTAGTCACAGCTTCTCTGGAGGCTGAGGTGGGAGGATTGCTTGAGCCCACGAGTTTAAGGCTGCATTGAGCTATGATCATGCTACTGCACTCTAGCCTGGACAGAGCAAGACTCTTTCTCTAGAAAAAACAATCAAACAAACAAACAAACCCAACAACTGGAAACATCCTCCACTAGAATGGTGGTCAGGAACATCTGTCTGCCTTGTTCCCTGATGTCTCTCCAGCACCTAGAACAGCGCTCAGCACGAGGATGCACTCATTAGGTTTCTGTTGAATAAATGACTCCTTTGACACAGCAATTCCACTTCTAAGAATCTTTTCTAAAGAAATACACATTGTGCACAGCTCTGTATGCACAATAATGAGAGGAGCAAACAACTGGGGAACTTTGCAAAGTTTTATTAACTGTTAGTGACTGATACAGGGAATCAGATGAGGGGAGTGCATGCTAAACAGGAAACAGAGTGAGGGGGGCTTGACCAGGACGCATGGCAATGGGGAAAAGCAGATGGGAGATGCTTATAGTGGTACTTAGTGTCTGTGTGTGTGTGTGGTTTGTAAATGCAGAGGAGAAAATCTGACATTAAACACTCAGACTTGTCCTCAGTAGTCACATCTCGGGGGAGAGGAGAGCAGTGTTGTTCTATGTGGAGATTACCTGACTATACTTGTTTTCTAAGGTATGTGCGTGGATACACAAACCGAAATATGCGTTAAGTATATCTTGCTTATCAATGAAAACGCTAATATCTAACAGAATGGCACACTGTAAGAATATACAACGGAAACGCTAACATCGAAGTCTTGGCACACTAAGAAAAATAACACTCAACTTTTCACTGTTGTGAACACTTGCTTCCACTTCCTATACACCTGATGATGAGGGGTCCGCAGCCATGCCCATGTTCATGAAAGGTCACCAAGTTCTGCTTCCCATCATCGGCATGTGTCATATCTCTGAGGCTGAGGCAAGAAGAGAGAAGGAAAGTAAGTGGCAGTGAGTTCCCTCCGCATCACAACTTAATCTCATCTCCTCCTGACCTGCGGATCCTGCATGCTCCGATTCTGCCCTACCTCAGGACCTGCACAGGCCTTCCACTGTTCCGCGAAGTGAACCATCTGCACGTGCCACAGTGACTTCCTCGCCTGGTTTATCCATTCCTAGGCTAGAGGAAGGTGTGGCCCACATCTCAGGGCTGACCTGGGGTTTGGGAGTCCACAGCATCCTGGGTAGGGAGGATCCCTGGATATACAGGGCAGGAAGTAGAAAGAGCTTGCAAAGGCCGGGCATGGTGGCTCACGCCTGTAACCCCAGCACTTTGGGAGGCCGAGGCAGGCGGATCACAAGATCAGGAGACCGAGACCATCCTGGCTAACACGGTGAAACCCCTTCTCTACTAAAAATACAAAAAAAATTACCCAGGCGTAGTGGCGGGTGCTTGTAGTCCCAGCTACTGGGGAGGCTGAGGAAGAAGAATGGCGTGAACCCGGGAGTTGGAGCTTGCAGTGAGCCGAGATCGTGCCACTGCACTGCAGCCTGGGCCACAAAGGGATACTCCGAGAAAAACACAAAACAAAACAAAACAAAACATGGGAAATCTCATCATTCAGCCTCAATGCTGTACCCTAGAAAATTATGAGAAGGGAATGATTTGGGAAACAAGTGGTAAGATGGGATACCAGTACCACAACAGAAGAGCACATCTGCAGGGATGTGGGGGATGAGCCGAAGGTTCACTTACAGAGTTACTCGTCATCTTCCTCAGGGTCGCTGATCTCTTCATAAATCACCAGCTGCTTTCTCTCACGCAGTCTGTGGGTCCAGGCATGTTTCCCCCTTTTGGGTCCTATGATGGGGAACAGTTGGAAGATGAGGGTTGGGTAGGCTGGAGAGTGTTAGGCTCTGTTTTCTCCAAAAAAGTAGATGCCTCCGCCCTCCCAAGTGCCATGGGCCTTCTTTATCCAGTTTTTCATTCTGTGGCTTAGAGTCTGAGACCTTAGACCCACAACAACACACGCCAAATGCCAGTTAAAGTTTTAGCTTCTGGCTCCTTCTGTTGTCAAGTTTAGATTCCCAGCCTCTTCACTTATGGGAACATCCACCCATACCTCCTTTCATTCAGCATGTGTTTATTAAGGGCACACAGGCATACATTTTTTTTATTGCACCACATTTTCATAGTGTTTCACAGATGCTGCAATTTTTTTTTTTTGGAAACTCTCATCAATTGTACACTTTTCCATTATTATTATATCTGTTATAGTGATCTGTCATCAGTGAGTTTTGATATTATTACTGCCATTGTTTTTGTTGTTTTTTAATCTTTTAAAATAATTTTACTTTTTACTTTTTTATTTTTTTTATTTTTTTGAGACAAAGTCTGGCTCTGTCGCCCAGACTGGAGTGCAATGGAGCAATCTCAGCTCACTGCAACCTCTGCCTGCTGGGTTCAAGCGATTCTGCAGCCTCAGACTCCCAAGTAGTTGGGACTACAGGCGCCCATCACCACACCCAGCTAACTTTTTGTATTTTTAGTAGAGACAGGGTTTCACTGTATTAGCCAGGATGGTCTCAATCTCCTGACCTCATGATCGGCCTGCCTCAGCCTCCCAAAGTGCTGGGATTACAGGCGTAAGCCACGGAGCCTGTCCGTGTTTTTTATTTTTGGGGTCCACAGTAGGTGTATATTCTTAAGGGGTACGTGAGATGCTTTGATACAGGCATGCCATGCATAATAATCACATCATGGAAAATAGGGTCTCCATCCCCTCAACCATTTATCCTTCTGTTACAAACAATCCAATTACTCTTATAGTTTTTATAAAATGTACAATTAAGTTATTATTGACTATAATCACCCTGTTCTGTGTTATTGTTTCGGGGGTACCAGGAACTGCACCCATAGAAGATGACAAACTTAATCGACCAATGTTGTGTGTGTTCTGACTGCTCCACCGATGAGCTGTTCCCCATCTCTCCTCCTTCTCTTGGGCCTCCCTATTTCCTGAGACACAGCAACACTGAAATTAGGACAATTAACAACCCTACAATGGCCGCTAATTATTCAAATGAAAGGAAGAGTCACATGTCTCTCACTTTAAATCAGAAGCTAGAAATGGCTAAGCTTAGTGAGGAAGGCATGTGGAAAGCCAAGACAGGCTGAAAGCTCTGCCTCTTGCATCGAACAGGCAAGCTGTGAATGCAAAGGAAAAGTTCTTGAAGGAAATAATAATACTAATACTCCAGTGAGCACAGGAATAAGAAAGCAAAACAGACTTACTGCTGAAATAGGGAAAGTTTGAGTGGTCAGGATATTTGACAAAACCAGCCACAACATTCCCTTATGCCAAAGTCTAATTCAGAGCAAGACCCGAACTCTCTTCAAGTCCATGAAAGCTGAGAGAGGTGAAGAAGCTGCAGGAGAAATGTGTGAAGCTAGCAGAGGTTGGTTCATGAGGTTTAAGGAAAGAAGCCGTCTCCATAACATAAAAGTGCAAGGTGAAGCAGCAAACCCTGACGGAGAAGCTGCAGCAACTTATCCAGAAGATCAAGCTGAGATCACGGTTGAAGGTGGCTACACTAAACAACAGATTTTCATTGTAGATAAAATAGCCTTCTATTGGATGAGATGCCTTCTAGGACTTTCATAGCTAAAGAGAATTGACTCCAACTTTAAAGAAGTTCCACTGTGGGTAAAATGCTATCCAATAGCATCACATACTACAGAGAAATCCTTCATGAAAGGGAGAGCTAATCGATGTGGCAAATTTCTTTGTTGTCTTCTTTTAAGAAACTGCCACAGCCACTCCACCCTTCAGCAACCACCACCTTGATCAGCCAGCAGCCATCAACACCGAGGCAAGACCCTCCACCAGAAAAAAGAGGGAGTCACTGAAGACTCAGAAGATTGTTAGCGTTTTAAACAATTATTTTAAAATTAAGGTATGTACATTTTTAGACATGTTATTACACACTTAGTAGATTACAGTGTAGTGAAAACATAATGTTTTTATGCACTGCCAAACCAAAAAAAAAGTGTGTGACTCACTTTATTGCAGTGGTCTGGAACCGAATCTACAATATCTCTGAAGTACACCTGTATTGGGTATCAGGCATTGAGCTGAGTAAGATATTATCCCGCGTTATCAAAGATAGAATTGCTTGAGCACCTTTCATGTCATCAGGCCTTCTAGATTAAATTTAATGCCTCCAAACAATTTATGAACTATGATTCTTTATTTCCATCTTATGGACTAGGAATCTGGAGCTGAGAAAATTTGGAAGACTTGCCCCAAGTCACGTGGCTTTTTATATGGATGACAACTCCAGTCTGTGTCTCTGGAAGTCATGTTTATCATCTCATCTGGAGCTGGGTGAGCTCCTCAGCCCAGCCTGGACCCAGGCTTGTCTGGGATCCATGCCACACACCCAGTCCCCACACCTGAACATAGCCAGGGAAGCCAGAGGGGTCGTTCCCGAATTATTTCCTCTTACCAGATCTCTTGTTAATCTTCTTAGAGGTACTTGGTTTTCCCAGTGGGCACGGCTGTTTCCCATCGTTCTGTGGGCCAGATGGTCCTGGCACTTCCTTCGAATCATTTCCTTCCTCTGCTGGCTTCTCGGGCATGATCTTTATAATGTGAAGGTCACAGATAAATAGTATCAGTCACATTTCTATAGTGCTTTAGAACTTACAAAGCATCTTCACATGCATTACCTCAATCAATGTTCTCAACAACACTGGAAGAGTTACACAGGCGTAAATGAGGAGAAACCTGGAAGGTTAGACGGGAAAGGAATGGCCTATGTGAATATGGTTTCCAGGGCTAGAATGCTTATCTTCACACTCTTTTAAGACTGACATTCTTGCAAACAGCAAAAATCTCCATGTAACTGAGAGTTTGGTATACAGAAGATTGGAAGAAGGACAGCATTCTAAGAATTCACAAGGTCTACAAAAGGAAGAGCTTCTATAAAATACAAGGGATCTCATATAAGCTCTTAGACAGCTGCTGGAGAGTAAATGTAAAAACATAGAAGGGAGACAAAACACTGCTGAAAAAGATGGTATTGGGAGATGAATACAGTGAAGATAGAGGTAAAGAAATGGTTTGCTTAAATTAATCTAGGCAGCAAAGAAAGCAGTTATCAGATATGGCATACCACCCTACCAAGGCACCACCACTGAATGTGGAATTAAGTGAGGTGGTGCCCATACCAATTCTGGTTGCACTGGGATATTGGGATGTGTCACTGACCAACAACCTTAAGCTACCTTTTTTTTTTTTTTTTTTTTTTTTTTTTTGAGACGGAATCTCGCTCTGTTGCCAGGCTGCAGTGCAATGGCGCAATCTCGGCTCACTGCAACATCCAACTCCCGCGCTAAAGCGATTCTCCCGTGACAGCCTCTGGAGTATCTGGGACTGTAAGCAGGCACTACCACGCCCCGCTAAGCTTTGTATTTTAGGTAGAGACAAGGTTTCACCATGTTGGCCAGGATGGTCTTGATCTGTTGACCTCGTGATCCACCCGCCTTGGCCTCCCAAGTGCTGGGATTGCAGTCGCAAGCCACCGCGCCCCGCTCTTAATCTACTTTTTATTCAGCTTCCTCGCTTATGAAATAGTGAACAATACATATACAATAGGCTAAGGGAAAGTCATCTCTGAGCTTGTAAACACTGTTTAAATATAGTAATAATAACAATCAATACCTTTCTGGATCCTTCTTTGAATTCGGTCTCCACACTGGCAACCCAACTCCCAGATCCCTTTACCCTCTAAACCAGACTTGAATCTGCACTTGTGGGATCACTCACTCAGGGGCCTCCGAGGGATCCCCTGGACTGGGACTGGGGTTTACCAGATGCCCCAGGTGCAGACAAGGCCCTCAAGGAGCTCACAGTAGGGAGGAGTCAGCTGTCAAAGGGACACTTAGGCCATGTGAGTGGCCCCAGTTACAGAGCAAAGGCCAGCTGGTCCTTCCTGTTGCGAGAGTGTGTGTCTCAATGGAAGCACCAGCAGGCCCTATGGGGTAAAGCCCTAGTGAGCAACATCTGAACTTCATAAACAAATGCAAACGTGAATGAGCTTTAAATGGCTTGGAGCTCTGGATTAGACTACCACTGCCACTGTGCCCCAGGAACATTCTTTAACATCTCTGTACCCCGATAGCCTCATTTTATTATGTTCCTGATAACTATGATCTATAACATGAACTACGATTCTTTACTTCCATTGCATGGACCAGGAATCTGGAGCTCAGAGAACTTAGAAGATTTGCACCAAGTCACATGGCTTTTGTATGGATGAAAACCGAAGTGTGTGACTATTATTTGGAGATAACAACAGAAACAACGTCATAGAGGTCTTCTTAAGGATTAAATAAATTAAGCCATGTGAACTGCTTAAAATAGTATCTGGTATCACTATGAAAACAAAAGAAGTATTAAGGATCACAACTCTTAGTATTATCAAGCCGTCGATGCTACATCAGGTGTTGTGATAGACATGGGGGGAAGGAGGCAGTGAGGGCATTTTTTATATTCTCCCGCTCTTTTTTTTTTAATTTATTTATTATTATTATACTTTAAGTTGTAGGGTACATGTGCATAACGTGCAGGTTTGTTACATATGTATACTTGTGCCATGTTGCTGTGCTGCACCCATCAACTCGTCATTTACATCAGGTATAACTCCCAATGCAATCCCTCCCCCCTCCCCCCTCCCCATGATAGGCCCCGGTGTGTGATGTTCCCCTTCCTGAGTCCAAGTGATCTCATTGTTCAGTTCCCACCTATGAGTGAGAACATGCGGTGTTTGGTTTTCTGTTCTTGTGATAGTTTGCTAAGAATGATGGTTTCCAGCTGCATCCATGTCCCTACAAAGGACTCAAATTCATCCTTTTTGATGGCTGCATAGTATTCCATGGTGTATATGTGCCACATTTTCTTAATCCAATCTGTCACTGATGGACATTTGGGTTGATTCCAAGTCTTTGCTATTGTGAATAGTGCTGCAATAAACATACGTGTGCATGTGTCTTTATAGCAGCATAATTTATAATCCTTTGGGTATATGCCCAGTAATGGGATGGCTGGGTCATATGGTACATCTAGTTCTAGATCCTTGAGGAATCGCCATACTGTTTTCCATTACATAATGGTAAAGGGATCAATTCAACAGGAAGAGCTAACTATCCTAAATATATATGCACCCAATACAGGAGCACCCAGATTCATAAAGCAAGTCCTTAGAGACTTACAAAGAGACTTAGACTCCCATACAATAATAATGGGAGACTTCAACACTCCACTGTCAACATTAGACAGATCAATGAGACAGGAAGTTAACAAGGATATCCAGGAATTGAACTCATCTCTGCAGCAAGCAGACCTAATAGACATCTATAGAACTCTCCACCCCAAATCAACAGAATATACATTCTTCTCAGCACCACATCGTACTTACTCCAAAATCGACCACGTAATTGGAAGTAAAGCACTCCTCAGCAAATGTACAAGAACAGAAATTATAACAAACTGTCTCTCAGACCACAGTGCAATCAAACTAGAACTCAGGACTAAGAAACTCAATCAAAACCGCTCAACTACATGGAAACTGAATAACCTGCTCCTGAATGACTACTGGGTACATAACGAAATGAAGGCAGAAATAAAGATGTTCTTTGAAACCAATGAGAACAAACATACAACATACCAGAATCTCTGGGACACATTTAAAGCAGTGTGTAGAGGGAAATTTATAGCACTAAATGCCCACAAGAGAAAGCAGGAAAGATCTAAAATTGACACTCTAACATCATAATTAAAAGAACTAGAGAAGCAAGAGCAAACACATTCGAAAGCTAGCAGAAGGCAAGAAATAACTAAGATCAGAGCAGAACTGAAGGAGATAGAGACACAAAAAACCCTCCAAAAAATCAATGAATCCAGGAGTTGGTTTTTTGAAAAGATCAACAAAATTGACAGACCACTAGCAAGACTAATAAAGAAGAAAAGAGAGAGGAATCAAATCGACGCAATTAAAAATGATAAAGGGGATATCACCACCGACCCCACAGAAATACAAACTACCATCAGAGAATACTATAAACACCTCTACGCAAATAAACTGGAAAATCTAGAAGAAATGGATAATTTCCTGGACACTTACACTCTTCCAAGACTAAACCAGGAAGAAGTTGAATCCCTGAATAGACCAATAGCAGGCTCTGAAATTGAGGCAATAATTAATAGCCTACCAACCAAAAAAAGTCCAGGACCAGATGGATTCATAGCTGTATTCTCCCGCTCTTACCAGTGTTCACATCCTTGAAGAGACAAAGGTTCTCTGGTCCTTTAGATTTGAGAGATACTCACCTTTGGGAAGATTCCCTGGAGCCTGCCGAAAGTCATCTGAGGACGTTCAACTGAAAGAGAATACATCAGAATTTTTCTTCGTTGGTAAAGATTTCCAAACTCTAGAGAGACTTCTGTCACATGAGTGCATTCTGCAACAGAAGGTTATGAGTTCACTCATTGTTGAGGAATTATTTGAGATTTGCTTCTGAATTATGTTTAGTCATGGTTGGTGCATTTATCTGTGGCATCAGTTCAGAATTTTCCATCTCATGGTTTATCAAATGGGGGTTAAACCCCATCACAGTCTCATCTTATTCCATTACATATCTTTCACATTTTCCCAAATAACTAAATTGATTGTTTGGGGGTCTGAACTGTATTCTCTCAAGATGTGCAACAACTGAAAATCACTGTACACTTGAAATGGGTGAATCTTATGGTATGTGAATTAAGCTGTTAAATGTGTGATGAACCATGGATGATTTAGTTCAGTGGCTCTGAAATATTTTCAGTATAAAGACACTCCTTTAATGTCAAAAACTTGGCAGATACTCAAGCACTGGATTTTCAGACCTCTTATAGTGATTGTGGGAGATGGTAGAATCTGGCCTGTTTAGTTGGGGAGTAATAGGTCTATTGGAGACAGTTTGGACATTCTGACCTTGTCTTATAATTGTGTGGTCAGAGCAGAAGAGCAAGCAAATACATATGTCCCCTTTATATTCCCGAAATATACAAAGATTTCTACCCAGTAACCTGTCGCTTTTTCACCCTATATTATCTCTCCTCACTGACAAGTGGGAAAACTCTCTGTGTGTTGGATGAGGGATCACTCTTTCAAACTCACCTCCCAGCTCACCGCAGAGAATCAGTTCTTTGGGAATGAGAAGGCTATTTGGTTTTGATAAAATACAGAATAACAGCGATCTTTATTACATAATGTGTTCATCACCCTCACTCCTAACTCCTAAGATACCTATCCAATACCTACATGCTGTTAATGAAACAAACTCTGGAAGTTTTTGGCGGATCTACAGTTGTAACATTTTCTTTCTTTCTTTCTTTCTTTTTTCTTGTAACATTTTCTTAACTGTCCTTTGATTCATTAACAGTGCTTAGGAAAAACAACATGTCCTTTAAAAAAGAAATATTTCAGACACAAAGAAAAGCATAGGGAATAATACTGAGTCCAGTCAGATCTCAACATCACCCCACAGCTATGTTAGGTCTGATTTATTTATTCAGAATATTAGAAAAACTACAAACAGGCCAGGCGTGGTAGTTCACATTTGTAATCCCAGCACTTTGGGAGGCTGAGGTGGGTGGATCACCTGAGGTCAGGAAGTTTGAGACCAGCCTGGCCAACATGGTGAAACCCCTTCTTTACCAAAAATAAAAAAATTAGCTGGGTATGGGGGTGGGCACCCGTAACCCCAGCTACTCGGGAGGCTGAGGCAAGAGAATCACTTGAACCCAGGAGGTGAAAGTTGGAGTGAGCTGAGATTGCCTTATTGCGCTCAAGCCTGGGTGAGAAGAGCGAACCTCCACCTCAAAAACAAACAAAACACACTATCAACAAGTCACGGCTGAAGCTGTCTGTGCAGCACTCACCAATCCCTGCCCTCCCTCCTCCACTTACAGGCAGTCACCTTAATTTGATGGCTTTTTATTCACATTCATGTTTGTATACATTTACCATTTACTTATTATCTATAAAAATATATTATTCTTTTGCATGTTTTAAAATTTTATATGAATGGCCTCTGTAGTTAAGTTTCTGCATGCAATTTTTTTTTTTCACTCAGCCCTGATGTGTGTGAGGGAACAAATGCCTGAGGATCTTTCCCAGGTAGCTGAGCTGAAAAGCAGTTGGGTTTGAGGAGACCCTTTCCGGCCCCTTCCCATCTACTCACCCTGATCCCTGCGGTTACAGTCATTATCAGAATCATTCCCCTGGAAGTCTGTGGCCCATTTATTACGCATGAAAGGTGGGAGGGTGGCCTTGAAACCTAGAAAGAAGCAAAATGTTTATTCCTTAAGAGGCAAGCTTAGGCCTGCCACGGTGGCTTATGTCTGTAGTACCAGTACTTTGGGAGGCTAAGGTTGGAGTATTGCTTGAGGCCAGGAGTTCAAGGCTGCAGTGAGCTATGATTGCACTACGGCACTCTAACCTAGGTGACAGAGTGAGACTCAAAGAAAGAAAGAAAGAAAAAGAAAGAAAGAAAGAGAGAGAGAGAAAGAAAGAAAGAAAGAGAGAGAGAAAGAAAGAAAGAAAGAAAGAAAGAAAGAAAGAAAGAAAGAAAGAAAGAAAGAAAGAAAGAAAGAAAGAAAGAAAGAAAGAAACATAGATGCAAGCTGAGAGAAGGAAGGTAGGGACAGTGTTGGGGTGCCGGGATGCCACAGAGACACTTGGACTCATCCGAACAGACGCCTAAGGGAGAGAAAGGTGCAGGATCCTGGTCTGAGCTCCACTGTTGCCAGCCCTTGCCCTCAGCCCTGACGGGATACAAAAGAGCAAAACACCCAGAAGCTGCCTTGCGATTTTTCCCTGCACAAAAGGAAAATGTGGGGTACTTTCTGCAGCCTAAGAAGTAGCCAAAGCAGGAAGAGGGATGCTCATGTGTCCCCAGACTTGTCTGTACCTAGAACTTTCTGTTACCTAGTTTATTCATGGCCTCATACTTTCTCTTCTTATACACATAGATGATTTTCTCTGAGGTTTTCATCTTTTCCCACTCTTTCTTAGGGAAGTATTTGGCAATATCATCGAAGGCCTACAGAAAAAAAGAAAAGGAATTCTGGCTGTGACTCAGCTAGGCATGTCTGCCATTCAGCTGGAGCCGCTTCCTGTGTGCTGGATCTGGGAAGTGGGGATGATAATCCGTCCTGGTTGATGCCATGGCTAACTGAGACAACATCAGGGACCTACCCTAGCTTCTCCCCTGCCACACAGTAGAGCTTTAATGCTGCTGGCTGGCTCTCGTCCCACCTTGTAGAATGGAATAAGAGTCACCAAATAGAGTGCACTGTCACAGACTTGTCTCCAGGGATGCTAGGTGATGACAGAGCAAAGGTGGGAGGCTCCCAAGGGTCCAGATCTCCCCCAAGACCCTGCTCCTTGTCCCCAGTATCTCTATCCTCCCCTCCTCAGAAACCTGGTCACCCCACACTGTACCCTGGGTCACTACTGTACCCTCTCCAGGTCACCTCACCTTTTGTATCTTCTCTGGTATTTGAGCACCAACCCTAGGTCTCCTTGCAAAGGCATCATCTCCATTCATGGCACCAGGAGCAGTCTGACCTGCAAGAGAAACAGCCTGAGACTTTCCAGCCACAGGACCTTTGGTCCTCTGGAGGGAGAAATCAGTGAAGGCCAGCCACACTCTGTCACCTGGAATCAGGTGCTGCATTTCTCCATCCGGGGCTTATCTCTCCCTAAGTAAGGACATGGGGAGAAGTCAGATGGAAACAGGGAGCCAGGGGTCTCTGGAAGAAGTATTGATTGGGGATGACAGGTTTCCTATGGGCAAAGCCGCCTTGAGTCTTTGGGAGGGGTTTGGCTACTGTTGTTAGTAGTTTCCCTGGGGCTAGGCTTACCCTGAAAGATGTACAGACCCTTGTTCCGGAGGCAGGGACGTGACTGTGTAATTGTATTCAGTGGGGGCATTCAAACACCCCCACTCATTCAATAAAGGGAAGGGAAGTGAGTCCCAGAGATAACATGGTCTCTCTGGTGATGGATCCGATCAGGCAGAGGGATGGAGGGTTCTGTTCTGTTGAAGAGAAATGAGCATGGCTAATATGAACCTATTTAGAGGGTATTACTGGGTGATCTGCACATTATTAGAAGAAGAGAGGTAGAATATCTCAGACTACAAGAGCCCACCAACACTAAGAGAGAATGTGGGGAGTTTTAAGATGCAGCAATCAGCCAGACGCCATGGCCCACGCCTGTAATCCCAGCACTTTGGCAGGCTGAGACACGCAGATGGCTTGAGCCCAGGAGGTCGAGACCAGGCTGGGAAAAATAGCAAAACCCCCGTGTCTACAGCAAACACAAAAAATTAGCTGGGGGTGGTGGAGCAGGCCTGTACCATCCCAGCACTTTGGGAGGCCAAGGTGGGTGGATCGCTTGAGCCCAGGAGCTTGAGACCAGCCTGGCCAATATACCGAAACCATCTCTACTAAAACACCAAAAAAAAAAAACAAAACAAATTAGCAGAAGCAGCGTGGTGTGTGCCTGTAGTCCCAAGGCCTAAGCGAGAGGATCTCTTGATCCCAGGAGGAAAGATTTTAGTGAGTTTTTTTTTTTTTTTTTTTTTTTTTTTTTTTTTTTTTTTTGAGACACGGTCTCTCTCTGTTGCCCAGGCTGGGATGCAGTGGTGTGATCATGGCTCACTGCAACCTCCGCCTCATGGGTTCAAGTGATCCACCAGCACCAGCTGTGGCCTCCAAAACTGCTGGAATTACAAGCGTGAGCCACCATGCCTTGCCCAAATTTCTTAAGTTACTGTGGAGTTCTTAGGAAAAATCCTGTACCTGAAAAAGTTAGAAACTGACAGGAAGGATTTGAGATGGCGACCTACCTCATATACACTCCTTATTAAAACTAGATAACAAATGCACCACGGAGGAGGGGAGGGGTAGGAAGAATGGAAAAAGAAAATCAGCGCATACTTACTCTGATTTTGGAAGAATCGAAAGAGAAAATCAGAGCGTGCGTACTCCGTGGAAGAATCGAGAGAGAAAGTCAGAGCACGCGTACTCTGAACTTAAAGTAGCCAATCCCTGGGGATGCTTTAGGCGGGAAAATCAGAGTCTCCGCCCCCACTTTGAGAAGGTTCTGTCCCTGGAGGCTGGACTGATAGTCGCCACATGAGCTTCGCTTATCCCGCCTACTGTTCTGACTTCTGATTGGCCAGATGGAGTTCACTAACTGCCCTGATTGGTCCATCATCCTTGGGCAGTGGCATTGCAGAATATTGTCTCCTCTTCCAGCCACACTTTGTTGCCACTGAGACAAAGTGGGTGGTCCTCAGGTGCCGTCAGGGGAAATTGATCTCTCGGAAGACCGTCCCTGGATCTTGGGTTAAAAATCTGTATTCTAGTCTGAACTGTGGGAAGAAAAAAATAGTCAGATCTGTGATTTTTCTACTTGAAAGACACAATGTTTACCAAACTAGCACATTTGCGGAACTTTGCTGTACTTAGTCGTGATGTTCATTCTTCAGTGGCTTCTATATCTGTTGCAACTGAAAAAAACAGTCCGAGGCCCTCCAACTTCTGATTACATTTTTGAAAGGGAATCTAAGTGTGGTGTGCAAAATTACCATCCTTTACCTGTAGCCCTGGAGAGAGGAAAATGTACTTACTTATGTGATGTGATTGTGGTATTGGTTACATCCGCCTTGGCCAATCCTCCTTCTTCGTTCTCGGGACTACAGGCGTGAACCACCCCACCACCCATAATATTTTTTGTTTTTTTATTTTTTAATAGAGACCGTTTCCCTATGTTGGCCAGGCTGGTCTCAACGTCCTGGGCTCAAGGGATCTTCCCACCGCAGTCTTGAGACTACAGGCATGCACCACCCTGCCCACGCTTTTTTTTTTTTTTTTTTTTTTTTGTAGAAGCCAGGTTTCACTATGTTGCCCAGGCTGGCCTCAATCTCCTGGGCTCAAGGGATCCTTCCACCACAGCCTCGGGACTACAGGCATGCACCACCCTGCCTATGCTATTTTTTGTTTGTTTGTTTCTTTGTTTGTTTGTTTCTTTAGTGGAAACCGGGTTTCGCTATGTTGCCCAGGCTGGCCTCAATCTCCTGGGCTCAAGTAATGCTTTCCCCTCAGCCTCAGGACTACAGGCATGTGCCATTCTGCTCTGCTCTTTTTTACTTTATTTATTTGTTTGTTTATTTATTTATTTATTTATTTAGGAGAGACAGGCTTTTGCTATGTTGGCCAGGCTGGTATCGACCTCCTGGGCTCAAGCCATCCTCCCACCTTGGCCTCCCAACGACAGGGGTGAGCCATCCCACCCACGCAATTTTTTTGTTGTTCTTGTTGTTAGTAGAAATGGGGTTTTGCTATGTTGACCAGGCTGGCCTCAACCTCCCAGGCTCAAGCAATCCTCCCACCTCAGCCTCCTGACTACAGGCTCACACCATTCTGCCCCCACTAATATTTTTAATTTTTCTAGTAGAGACAGTTTTGCTATGTTTTCCAGGCTGGTCTCTACCTCCTGGGCTCAAGAGATCCTCCTGCCTCAGCCTTGGGACTACAGGCATGCACCACCCTGCCTTTTGCTATGTTTCCCAGGCTGCTCTTCACCTCCTAGGCTCACTTAATGATTTGAACCCAGGATGCAGAGGTTGCATTGTGCTGAGATCACACCACTGCACTCCAGCTTGGGCGACAGAGCAAGACTGTCAAATAAATAAATACGTACATACATGAAAGGAAAAGAAAGAGAAAAAGAAAGAAAGAGAGAGAGAGAGAGAGGGAGGGAAAGAGGGAGGGAGGGAGGGAGGGAGGGAGGAAGGAAGGAAGGAAGGAAGGAAGGAAGGAAGGAAGGAAGGAAGGAAAAACAGACCAGCTGAATCTCCATAAAAACAGTAAACTTTGTGGTATATTAACTTACCCTCATCCCATCTCGTGCTCCCAGCTTGGTTCTGTTCATTGCTGATGAAAACAGATAGGATTGGCCAGAACTGGTAGATGGCTGGCTGTTGATCATGAAAATGTCAGACCTGATATAGCCTCCTTGGAAAGGCCCTTTCTGGAGGCTGATACTCCGTGCCTGCAGTACTGTGGGACAATGGCATAATTCTGACCATTAAGCCAGACGAAAATGGGTCCACATACAGTGGCAATCCACTAGGCTGCTGAGTGGGCATCAGAGCCCTTGAGGTTTTAGAAGAAGAAAACCTTGCTGAAAATGCAGGAAAAAAAATGGGTATTCTCTTGAGAAATTAACCCATGAAGCTACCTTCTGATGCTGTAACTGCTGTAAGAGGAGAAGAATTATTGTATGTATGTGTGTATGTATGTATGCATATATGTATGTATTTAGTCAGAGGTTCACTCTGGTTGCCCTGGATGCAATGGTGTGATCTTGGCTCACTGCAACCTCTGCCTCCTGGATTGTAGCAATTCTCCTGCCTCAGCCTCCTGAGTAGCTGGGATTACAGGTGCACAACACTATGCCCGGCTAATTTTTGTATTTTTAGTAGAGACAGGGTTTCACCATGTTGGCCAGGCTGGTCTCGAACTCCTGACCTCAGGTGATGCACCCACCTCGGCCTCCCAAAATGTTGGGATTACAGGCGTGAGCCACTGTGCCTGGGAGGAAAAGAATTATTAATTGCTATTGTTATTAAAGAAACCAAAGATTGCTATGCTTCGAAGGTGTGTCTACGACTTCAAGATTATCCACTTCTGGCCAAGCCAACCCATGGTGACATCATCAGGTTTCGCCTCTGCTGGTGGTCAAAGAGAATGAGATTCGAGAGTCCAGTGAAATCATTAACAAGACCATCTTGTCGTTCTGAGGGTAGCAGCTGTTTTCAGTGGTCGCTGGGAGCCGGCTGGATCAGGCGGTCCTGTAAAAGCTCTGCTCTTAATGCGGGCACATTCCACTCCATGTGACTTCAAAATCTTTTTGTGGAGTATCTATTTTTTTCAGTTAATACATAATAGAACAACGTTTATGCAGCTGCTGTTTGCTTTGTAATGTAAGAGAATGTAATGGCATCTGAATGGTGAAAGTGTTTTGATGTGTATATGTACTTTCTAAGGTTTAAACGCATCTACATATACAGATAGCCTTTAAATCACATCCTTCAGTATACTTTATATATGTTTTTATAATTTCCTTGGTGGTATAAATGTTTTGTATTTGCAAAGGTTATCTCTAGGGAATTACATAAAAGACTTCACCTTATAAAGTCAAATCATTGTTGTCATTGAATTTTAGGAAGGATGAATGGTTAAGCATATAAGAAATACTAATATTAAGTAAACTTCATGTTGGCCAACACCAGGATGTATTCTATGGATGTCATTATTTTCAATTAAGAATTAGTGTTTAACATTCCTAAATTGTTTTGAGTGCTTGATTATAATTTGTAAAAAAAAAAAAAAAAAAAAAAAGTTTATTTTTAATATTTCTTTAAATTTAAAATAAAGCTTATATTTCGGAAAAAAAAAGATACAGAACATGGCCAGGTGCAGTGGTTCACGCTTGTAATCCTAGCACTTTGGGAGGGCGAGGTTGGCAAATTACTTGAGGTCAGGAGT